TGTGGAGAACCCAGAGACCAGGTAATAAACTTGCATTTCCCAGGCTACATAGGATGATGGGAGGGAAAAGGGTCCCCATCAGCACTCCAGGTAAGTGACCTAGTTGTCAGCAAGAAATAGATGCTCCTGCTGCTATCTCTGCCTTGCAGAAGGGACTTTGCTCCCTATTCTTGGAGATTAGGGAAGCCCAAAGCCATTTCTTCACCCAGATGGCAGGGAGGGTCTGCAGCTGCCAAGAACAGTGGCAGGAGTGGTGCATGGATCATCTTAAATTGAATTTGTACCGGTTGCAGAAGAAGGGATCCTGGTGCTGAGAACATAGCTATGTACCTTCTATGAACAAGGCGGGATGTCCTTTCACTCCATAAAGCTTGACTTGGGGTCCAGGCTTTGGGACAAAACCCTGCTGAAGGGGTTTGTTACAGCCCAAACCTACACCCTTTGCAGTCACAGATACTGTCAGTGAGAGACTACACATGGAGGTCTGTGTGCCACGTGCATGGCACTGCACAGACATATTTCAGGATGAGCAGGCACCTTTCTAGGTAACAGCTACATTATGTAGAGTTGTATCACTGGAAACAGTTGGGTACTTTCAATCCTACAAACAGCCTTTCAACATCTGAGTCCCCCAAATGCGAATGAGAAAACCTAATACTTAAGACAAGGAGAGTCTTATTGGATACCAGATGGTTCATATGTAGATAACTGCATGTGGATGCATGTGGGATTTCAGAGTGGTGTAGAGGTTTCCACGCTGAACAGGTTTTGTTTCTCTTGGATCAGTGGTGGGGAAGGAAAACTACACTGTAAGACCCTTTGAGAAGAGGCTCCAAAATGCACAGCCAGGCATGGAGGCAGGGCAGTGTCTGCCGGAAATAAAGGTGAACAGCATTTTTTTGTTGTTGTTGACTGCATAATGTACTATTCCTTGTAAATCTCTGTGAATATGTGCATTCTGCTCCAAAGAAGACAAAGCCTCTCAGTAAACAAGAGGTGTCAACATATATGTGCAGTCTGTTCCTGGGCTGCCAATAAGTACTCTTGGGAAACAAGCCCGAGACACTCGGAGGTCTGGCTGGTGTTTTCTTTGGAAGATTGCTGCTGGAAATTGCTGCTGAAACGTTTTCAATAAGGTTCTTTCTTTTAATTGGATGTAGTTCTTTCAGAAACTTTCCAAGGAACAATAATTTTTCTCCAAAATACTGGCTAGCCAGAAACTAAGTACTCCAGCCAAACCTCAAACTATTTAATTAGTAAATTCTGCAGTGCTGCCTCCCTGGAGTTTTAATTCAGTTACTTTTTATCCCCATTCCTCTCTCTGGGCCAAGTTCTCTGCTTATGCCACAATGCACTCTGAAATGTCAATTCTCACTCAGAAACAATGAGACCTCCTGACACAGATGAGACTTTGGGGCATTTGGGATGAGCTCCAGGATATAGATTAAATGGAAATCTAAGATTTCTGGACATAGGCAATGCTTCTTCCTAAAGTTTTATCATGACATAACTGAAGCTTTTTCTGTATTTGGATGTCTATTGAATCAAAATTTTACCTGTGAGCCAGGGGAGGGATGGGTCTGGGAATTCAACCAGCAAAGCGTCCGCTAGATTATGAGACAATAACGTGAAGATGATTACTGACTATCCTTAAAATAATAAAACTCTGCCCCATAGCAGACCTTTACACCACAATAAATCAAAACATCATCTTCCAGAGGCTCCCAGGCTGGGTGCATGTAAAGACTGTCCTAAGGTGTGATGAGCCACACACTGCTGCAGAGGTGCAACAAGAAGGAGAAAGAGGTACATAGTTGAAAAGACTGCCCTGTCAGCTGGCACGCAAGAAGATACATTCCTATACGAATGGTTCCGAGATGATGAATTTTCAGTAGCAGTTATAGGAACCATAGACGAGAGCAGTACCCTGTCTTTCTACTTTCTCCTTGCTTTGCCATGTGTATAATGTGATTTACACAGTTTTATCTTCTTTCTTGAAAGTGGTCTGTACCTACCAGACAACACACCAGACACTAATGGGGAGAATGTCACCTTTCTGTCACCTCAGGAAAATATTTTTCATTCCCATAACACAAACCTTCAAACTACATAGGATAATTTAAAAATACAATGGTATTCTTAGTTGACAGAAGCAAAAGGTGATGTTTTCATATCTTATTAAGATATTGGATATTAATTTCCTTCAACTCAAATGCAAACATGAAAGTTCCTGTCACTAATGGAGTAATATTTTATTTTTAAGAATTTACTTTGGAAACTATTTGCATTACCTACAAGTCAAGCCAAAAATAAGACTATCAGCTTTTTCCTTACCAAAGCAGATTTACCATTCAGCACCTGTAATGAGAAGTTTTATTCAACTATTTATACTGCAGTTACTGACTATAAGGTATCCATGATATATATGTTACCTAGTTGAATATATCTTATAGGTGCATGCTGAAAACTGCTCACATAAAAAAGCATGAGGGTAATTTGGCTGCAGCTGGCATTCAGCCGAAAGCAGGTCTGTGTGCAGCTGCCTGGGTAGGCATACTTTCAGATTTTCATATATAACATTTCCCCTTCCACAGTCATTCTTGAAAACATACTTTTTCCTTATCAGTGTTCATGAATACCAAATAAAAGGTAAAGAAATTGCCCTCAAAGGAAACTCTTCATTTTTATTTAAATGAATACTTAATGAATCTACTTAAGTAGTACTTGCTCCCAGATATTTCTAGAACTATCTGTGAACAGAAACCTGTAAAATTAAAATATTAAGTGTTAAATTTTTTATGGAATAGGATAAACCTTTCTTCCTATTTCAGGGTGCAATAAAAGTCCCGTGTCAAAGTACACAGCTGCCGATGGCGCAGGGCAGTGGGAACCTGGACACTGTCCACACTAAGAACAGGTAAAATACAGCACAACCACAGCTGGAAACTCTTCCCCTAATGGGTCTTCTGTTGGAAAGGGCAGAGCAAACCCGGAGTCCTTAGGCTTTTTGATCCACCAGTGAAGCTTAAGCACATTTGGGCTATTTGGAGTGACTGTCTCATTGAAGATGCTGGCCCATGCCTGAAGGAAGACAACTGTGATGAGCAGAAAGAGTTGCTGCTTTACATCAGGGGGTGTGTGGGTTAACTGTTATTTTACAATGCAGGAATTTAATTTGTATAGTAATAGAATCATTAATTTGTATATTAATAGAATCATTGCTTGATGAAATTCATGCCCACAAGAAAATGACAGGTATTATTATAATTCGATGCAGAGAGAGACAAAGAAATACCAGGCATCAGAGCTCATCTCTTGACTCAGACACTGTGCTTTCCCAGGCTTCCCCTCTAGAAGATGGGTATGAGCCTCAGGAAGATTGCTTTGGTGTCTGCTAGAGGAGGAGAGGTTCAAGAGAAACATCTGCAGAGAGGATCCTGCCAGCACGAGGGGCAGGCTGGAGTTAGCCAGGTGCCTGGTATGTGCAGGTGTGCTCTAGCACATGAGCACCGACGCCATTGCCACGTGCTGCGATCAGCAGTAATTTAACCAGAAGAAAAAATGAAGAGTAGAGGCAAATACATTTTAGCCTTCTTTTGTTCAATTAGGATGATCAAAAAGCAGAGCTTGCTAATTCCTTAGAACTATCAATAAATAACTGTAAATTCAAAACCAAGATCAGCCTCACTCAGCTCCACTGAACTGTGCCACTAATGTTTCTCACCCTCTCCGAGACCTGCAGCACCATGCAAACACAAATGTTTCCTCAACCACGTCGGTGTGCTTGGCACTCTCATTCTGTGCCCTTCTCTGCTTGTCAAATCTCTGCTCAATTTTCTCATCTCTCTCACCCTGTCATGTTTTCATTAACAAGAGAATATTTTTGCTCTTTCTTCCTTCAGTCTTCATATTGGATTTCATTTTAATTTATTTACTGACTTTTTACCTTCTCCTAATGGCTTTGTTATTGAATGTGCAATACCACAAGAGACTAAACACCTCTGTTTATGAGGCATCTCTCAGGGTTTTCCAGGCTTGCTTTTATATCCTGCAATGAATTTTTTTATTTTTGAGACCAGACCTAGCCCCTGCAAACTGGTGAAAAGCTCATTACTGCTTCCCGAGGGAAAGGACTGATCACTAAAATCAATGAGACTCTAGGATGAAAGTTTTTACACCTCCAGCTGACTTCAATAGCAATCCCCCTTGTGCATCTCAGGACACAGTCCAAAGTACAAGTCAGTAAACAATTAACTGACCTATTTTTTATGAGGATATGTCAGAGTTAATGGGCAATGTATTTAGGCAGCTTGAGGCAGAATTGAGGTCTCATACTTTTAATACTTCATATATTTATAGGTACTGAACTCAAGAGAAATGGTGATCATCATCACTGTACATTCCTGTCAAAAACACAAGTCAGAGAATTTCACTGCACCAACCTCAGTTAAAGCACATGTCAGAGAAGCAAAAAGGGTTAATGATCCTTACATTTAAAATACACTCTGTATTTACAGTCTGGATTTTGCTTAAACCCCACAGTACTGGCTCTCTAGATTTCTCTTTCCAATTGCATAAACGTCTGCTCGCTTCTCTCAATGTAAGTACTTAGAGAGTGTGACCAGATTTTGAAACTCATCAATTATGTGAATTTTGTAATAATTTGTGAGATGCCTCACTATTCCTTTCATTTGCCTTTAAAAAAAAACAAAACAAAAAAAAAAACACCAAAAAAAACCCCAAACAACTATAAATAGAGCCTTCTTTCTGCAGCCAGTCTCCAAAGGTCACCTTACAATGTTTTGCTATTTCCCGTATTAAGCAGCAATGCTTTTCAGCTGACATTCCAACTTCAAGTCATGCATATGAGCATGATGTGAGCTTGCTCCAGACCACAGCGAGGACTGCATACAAGACTGCTGAGAAAAATAACATCCATTGTCAAAAAGGGCACTTCATCAAACAAAATTTAGCTGCATGAATACAAGTGTCTCCAAATATTTGGTTCATGCTAAAAATATAGCACATTTATTAAAAATATATATTTATAAACATTGGTATGAACAGACACAGATGTTAAGCAAATGAGAAAAGAAAAATAACCATGTAATGTATTTCTCCCAACATTTTATCAGGTTTAAGCAGACCTTGCTCAATGGAATTGTTTTTTTCATGATTGTACCATATGTTCATTCTAAATAAAAAGCTTGTCAGATTCGATATAAGTAAAAGCAAAAGCCAAGAGGAAAAAAAAAAAAAGACCTAACAGACATGTGATCTGTGCTATGAAGCTATCTTTGAGTTCAATCTTTGCGGGTATACAGTATACATTTCTAATTGTAGATAGTGTACAGTTTCTTTTTTTAATTTTAATTGTGTTAAAACAGCATATCCCTGGTGGATTTCTTCAAAGCTACAACTTACATAATTGCAATCATTTTCCACCAAACTGAAAGGAAGAGGGCAGGACAGAAGAGTTAAGCTTGTTACTGGGTGAAAAAGTCTTGTTCAATTAATTGTGCTTCAGCCTTCACTGCCTTCAGGCAGCACTTTTATGATGTGTTAATATAATACAGAGTCAGTTCTGATTAAACAACTTGCCAATAGCCAGCAATGTTTGTTGTCACTCTTAATGGCCGTTTTATCTGGTCTATTTGCATGCCTTCTAGTTTACAACGTTGTGTAAATATACACAAAAATGATCACAATGAGGTTCAGAATTGTCCCAATAATTCCAAGCATTGCCAAGATGGTTTCTTCTTTGCTTTCCTTTTCTTGACTGCCTTTATCTTCTTCATTTCCACTAGTGATTACCATCTTGGTGGCCAGTTTCTTTATCCTCCCCTTCAGGATAACCTAGATTTAGGAAGAAAAACATCAAAATGGATTGTTAGTTAGTTTCCAAACTCATATTAATAGTGGAGCCAACTGCAGAATTTTTGCCTCATAATATGTTATATATTAAGAATTCACTTTTAAAAGGATTAATATTTTTACTAACTATTTAGTAAATGCTTAATTAAAATGATAGTTCAGCTAGCCTGTAGATTACTTATAACCATCCATAACAACCCCTGCTTATGTGCCAGCAATTGTTCATAACACATATAACTCATTTGCAATGTCATTATAAAACTGGTCAGAAATGTACCAAGGTGGTGTGACTCCACCGGCATCAGTGGGGACTCTGCCTGCATTAGGACTGTGGGAGACCATCCGGTCAAGTTGTGGAGACCCTGGATTTACACTTCAGTACAAAGCAGCAAGTGGATGAGGGAAATAAAACTGGGAAGACCTCCTTTATTTTTAATATGAAAAATTATAAAAGACAAAGGCATTTTGTCTCCTGATGAAAAGAAAGACAGCAGTGACGTCCTAATAAATAATACAAAATAAAAGCAAAACCAAAATAACATCCATCTTGACTTTTTTTTTCCTTATTCCTAATATATGATGAAAAGTTACTCTCAGTGCAGTGAGCTGAAATGTATTGATCTGCCTGCAGGGAGAGTACAGCCATTTCCTACGCAGCAGCCTCAGCCTCTGAACTACTCAAAACCAGAAGATTCTTCAAACGTAGGACCAGGCTGCCAAATGTGGCACTGTTGCAGCCACAAACAAAGAAGCTCCCTTGGTCTTCCAGCCAGGCACTGAGATTTGGGTAAACATTTGATTGTTCAAATTAGAAACTGATAAATTCTATTTATCTGTGCTTATCTAACTCTGCAAATTCTCATCTTACGGGTAAACCAGAGCGCTCCAGAAAACTGGAAAAGGTTGACTGCTTCCCCAAATCCAACTGGTCTGCCAGCAGCTGGGTTCAGGCGATGCCCTGCTGCTGTCTCCCAAGCTGTAAACCATATCCCATGATGTTTCTGCTGCAGGAAGCAGCGGTAGGATGTAACCCAAAATGCTCCCCACAGCTGCTGCCCATAGGAGGAGTTTGGCTGGAGGAGAAAGGGGGCACAGGCACTTCCTTCATTCCTCCCTCCGCTGACTTGCAGAGCAAACCCACTAGATCCCACGCAGCATGGATATTCAGGGTGGTGAAGGCTCCCTGAGAATAGGCCACCACTTCTGGGGGCACAAGATCCCCCCAGCAGGTATCACCAGAGGGAAGCCCTGACCTGCAGCTCCACCAAGCTCCTGGGCTGCACAGCTGCACAGCAGCAACCAGAGTACTGAACGGATGGAAAGGAGGGGGAGAGATGAAGAAATCCTGCAGTAAGAGAGACTAGGAAGAAAAAAAGAGAATCGAGACAAAACAACCTGTCACATCTGCAAGTTGTTCATATATAGGACTGCGGGCAACTTCCTAGAACAGGCATCATGGTTGAATCCCAGCAGGTACCAGTGATTAGCAGTGAGTAAGGCAGCAGTAGGGGTCTGCGGGGATGCCACTGGCCTTTATACTTACGCTTGTGTTAGCATTTACGTGTTTTGCCTTCGTGTCACCAAGTGACACAGAGGAAAACAAGAGCAAAGGAGTCAGTAACCCCAGGGTATCCACAGCAGATAGATACAAGTCAGCAGGAGCAGGGCGGCACTAGGCAAGAGGGTACTACATTAGACATCAGAGCATGCTCATCCAGCAGGTCTTCAGGTGTCTTACCTCAGAAGAGCAAAGCTTCAGAGGCACCAAGTACCTCCCAGGGATGCTGGCTCCTGCTGACACCCTTCCAGCCCTCAGAAATTCCCTGGTCCCCACAGTTCCTCCAGCCATGACCACCTGCAACTCCTCCTGCAGGACCTACCTCATAGCAGCAGAGGAGCTTTGTCACATTTGCCCCCAGCTGGTGTCCAGAGGGTTTACTGGCATCTGCCCTCCCTATCTTATTAACTGCCACCACACAGTCAGTGATATCTTAACAAGCGAATTGGCTCTGGGAAATCACAGAATTCCTACTAAAGCCATTTAAATTAAACTCACAACCCAAGCACATGCACTCTCTGTGGCATCGGACCACAAACCCACATCCCAAGCTAAGACATGCAGTCATTGCTTCACCCACAAAGCCATTTGGATAGTGTTTTCCCCTTCAGTAACTGGGAGATTTTCCCTCTGGCCAAATGTTTGCGTTTCACTGTTTATTTGAAAAATCAAGTGGGATCACAAATACAAACTGATAAAATCTCAGGCCTGGAACACAAGGATTTGAGGGGAAGGTGAAGTCCTTGCTGGCTAGTTTCCAGAAGAGCTGAGCACTCTTGATTCAGCAATTGGATCCCACAGAAATATGGTCATACACAAGCATCTTGTGGGTCATGCCCTTCTGGCTCTGAAAAAAAGTCAGAGATGGGTCTCTTTGCATCCTATGTTTTGGACAGAGCTTCCCATTCACATCAACATAAACCCACACAGAGTAGTGCAGAGTCCCACCTGGGATGGATTTGCACATGCACTGCATCCACTGACACTGTAGCTTTGATATGGTGACTCTGCACCACATGTGCTACACAATCCTCTTTCTAGGACTAATGTGGGCAGAGCAGCATGGGGGCATCTGAACCTCTCATTAACATCCCCAGCCTTTTCTTAATAAATCCAAGCTATGCAGCATGAAATTAGTGTCAAATTTTTCTGCAGGATGCTAGAGCCTAAAATTAACATAAAACTAAAAAGAAATATTTCACCAAAGAAAAAAATGTATCAAAGGTTATTAGATATAAAGACAAAGCCTCTGGTTTAGGAAATCCTTCAGTTGTGAATTTTTTGGAAACTAAGTATTCTGGAGCAGTACCCAATCCCTGCCTTGTTATTAAAGTCTTTTCCAGCCACCCATTACTGGTTACTGAGAGAGATGGGGTCCCCAGGCTGCATGATCTCTGATCTGAGGTTGTACAATCACACACGTAGTGTGGACACTGACACCATTAGTTTCCCTGGGGGGACTGCACCAGCGGGTCCACACCACTTGCTATTTTATACATCACCTAAACTACGAGAGAGAGCACAATGGGCTTGGTATCATGAAGCTTTTAACATTCAAACAGAACAAGACTGGGACCAAATACAATTATATTAGTCCTTTGTCAAATACAGTACTATGGAAATCAAGGTAAGCGTTGACTTTGAACTGGGAGTAGACCAGAATCAAAATTACTCCTCCACATTTAGAGGACTGACCTTGTGAGAAGAGAAGCAATCTCCTAATGGCAGACTCAAGCCTTTAACTTTCACAGATCTCGTGCTCCGAGTGGTATTTTGGCTGGCTGGGGTCTGTGGGTGTTTTTTGCTTCTGGGAAAATATTTGCTGTCAGTTTTAGTATAATTACACCCAGTTAAGAAAATAGAAAAGTCTTCTGGCTTTCTGGGTACCTTTTTTCAGCCTTTATATTTCTCTTCTGGAAACTGATTTAATTTATTTGACACTGTTTCATATTTTTAAGATTCTTATGACACATTGCTCCTTTTATATTTTTCTGGTGGGACTTCATGCTTGTCAGAAACACTCCTTATCCAGAACTGGGTAGTCCTAGAAGTGCTGAGATAAGAAGGATAAAGAACACTATATTTACCGGTTCTTTAATAACAATCCTTCTTATTTAATTACTTCTTCATTAGGAAAGTGCTTTCCTGCTACATGAAAATTAATGTTTTCTACTTCTTTTTCTAAGATTCATCATTAACCTAACATCAGCCTTTTGAAAAGATATCAATTCCAAAAGATATCCATGAAAAGATATGTATTCCATGTATCCTGCATTGCACAGGGGAGAAAATGACATTCAGTGGTTAGAACACTCCTTGCACTGCTGCTGACTTAGATATGTACAGGAAATCCACCTAGTTTCTCTCTGCCTCAGTTTCTCATCTGTGGGATTCTTTGAAGAACTGCCCATCTTCTGTCAGAAAATGATCCATAACAAAAATAAGGCCCCACCAATACTTCCAAAAGAGGGAGGTGCTAACATGAAAAATTCTAAATCCAACAGTGAGATAAAATACACCAACCACTGTCTCCCCATCTATGGGACCTGTTGCACATCACTGTCTGCAAATAGTCCAGTGAACTAGACAAAGCATTCCTAGCAAGAGAAGATAATCCTTACTTGTCTCTTCAATGTCGGTGTGAGCAGTGACTGAGCTAAAGGTGATGGCTTAGTGGCATGGCTTTGGAAAAGGCAGCAGCAAGTGCACATTTGTGAATTTACTGCAGTATGTTTGTCACATTGAAGATACAAAGCGCATCCCTCATGAAGTACCTGCCCCAACATATCTGTCAGCTTTTGAATATGCTGGCACCTTGACTTGCTCTTGAAAAAGTTTTATAATCTTAAATCATTTCCATTCTGAGTCATTACTTATGAGCTCCCCAAAGAGTCCGCGAGTAGAGGGCGCAGCCAGCAGAAGCGGAGCTCCTGGGAAGTCAAAGGACGGGAAGATGCTCCGGGCTCTGCCAGGGACCCTCAGCGCTCTTCCTGATCAGCCTCGAGCTGTCATGTATTATCCAGCACTTTGAAAAACAAGAATGAAAACTTCTGAAAGCTCCCCAAGTCTGATGCTCAGCTGGTACGATGTAACCTCCCTCCCCTGAATTCAGCTGATCCACGTCCGTTTACACCAACTGAGGATCTGGCTCCTTGTATTCCATCTAGTTTGAATATCAGTGAGCACAAATTTTGTATTCTTAATCCATAATCACAGACAATCACCAGCCAAATGGTTTTGATATTTAAACTTGTTTACAGTCCCTAGGCTATTAGTTGTGATGACACATTAAGAGATAAGAGAGCTTTAATTTTCTGAGGATAGTTCCACCCTCTGGGGATAAGAAACACACAGTGGAAATTTGTTTTGATTAGCGAACTGAAGAGGGCACAGAAATCATACAAAACAGAGTGTGAGTTCAGAT